TTTAATTATTGTTTCTAATGAGCAATCTTCCTTTCTCTTTTCCAGCTTTTCTGGGAGAAGAGGCTACAAGGTCTCAGCGCGTCGGACGTCAGCGAACAAATCATAAAATCCATGGAGCTACCTAAAGGTCTCCAAGGTATTGTCTTCACTTACTGCAGTTGCTTCAGATCCACCAAGTTAGTTGTGCTTAAAAAGGACAGAGTTTTTGATGCTCTTTACAGTTGGATTAAGTAAACTTCTTGCTGACAAAATACCTCAGTTGCCCAAACTGTGCTTATTTTTAGTTCATTTATGTAGTTAATATAAACCGCACTTCAGAACCGCACTCTTATTGGCGAAAGTTGAGCTAAAATATGTTCAAGTCATAGTTCAAAATTAATAACTTTGTTCCACTGCTTGGGAGATTGTTTTTTCTCAGGAATTTGAGTGTTGTAAAAATCTCCACTGTTTATTTTTCAGAATTAATTTAGTACTTTGTAGCACTAAAGCAAAGGCTGTGCTGGTGCAGATTAATACTGTGAAGCTGCAAAGGAACTATTTCAATATGCGACTGATGAATTTATGATGTGATCATCTTTATTAAAAAATTGATGATGTTGTAATTGCTAGTGTAAGCAAATAACCTTGCCAATTTTAGAAATGAGATGCCTTTATTACAAAGCCATTTGTAAGGACTTGCATTTAACTCTTTAGATGATACAGCCACGTATCCAGTGGCGATCATATCATAGAATCATAGAATTTTCTAGGTTGGAAGGGACCTTTGAGATGATCTAGTCCAACCGTCAACCTAACTCTGATAAAAACCATCACTAAACCATGTCTCTAAGCACTATATCAACCCATCTTTTAAATACCTCCAGGGATGATGCCTCAACCACTTCCCTGGGCAGCCCATTCCAAGGCTTAATAACCCTTTCAGTGGCAAAAATTTTCCTAATATCCAGCCTGAACCTCCCCTGGGGCAACTTGAGGCCATTTCCTCTTGTCCTATTGCTTGTTACCTGGGAGAAGAGACCGACCCGCCTTGGCTACACCCTCCTTTCAGGGAGTTGGAGAGAGTGAGGAGGTCTCCCCTCAGTCTCATTTGCTCCAGGCTGAACACCCCCAGCTCCCTCAGCCGCTCCTCACAAGACTTGTGCTCCAGACCCCTCACCAGCTCTGTTGCCCTTCTCTGGACCTGCTCCAGCCCCTTAATCTCTATTTTGTTGTAAGGGCCCCAAAACTGGACACAGCCCTCGAGATGGGGCCTCACCAGTGCCCAGTACAGGGGAACCATCACCTCCCAAGTCCTACTCCCCATACAGGCCAGGATGCTGGTGGCCACCTTGGCCACCTGGGCACACTGCTGGCTCCTGTTCAGCCAACGGTCAACCATGAGTGTACGTTACTTTATGAACTGAGGAGAGCTCTGCCACTGGAATTTGCGTATGAAATACGAATGGTAACGATTTAATTCCCTTTATTTTAGGAGTTGGCCCAGGTAACAACGACGACACCCTGTTATCGGCTGTCGCCAGCGCTTTGCACACCAGTTCGGCGCCCATCACGGGGCAGCTCTCTGCGGCCGTGGAGAAGAACCCGGCCGTCTGGCTTAATACATCTCAGCCCCTCTGCAAAGCTTTCATAGTCACGGACGATGACATTAGGTAAGTTCTAGAAAGCTTTTCTTCAGGAAAAAAAAAAACAAAAAGCAAGTTCAATTCGATTCCTTCCTGGCTCAGCGCAGTCTTGGAGATAAGTGAAGAGATGTGTGAAGCTGTTTCTTGTACCTGTCAATTAGTAACTTGAAAAAATGAAAACCTGGGGTTTTTTTCCTTTGTGGTCAAAACAGTATTATAAAATATTCACAAAGGTGTGAGTCATAATCCACATTTTCTTTCCCAAGAGAGTGCCCTAAACATTAAGCTAAAGCCATCAGTACTGACTTCTTAGCTTTTTTCCTTCCCATTTGTGATTTGGTCAAGTTAATTTGTTGATCTCAGTTAAAAAATTAAATCATTTCAACAAAGGAGAATAAGAATATTCCCCTATAGCATATTGCTTTGCAGCTAAAAAGTGGGAGATTAGGATATGATGGGAAGAACAGAGACAGATCTATTCACATATGGGCAAAGATTTTGATTTTTTAATAGCTGCGTCGTTAATTTTCTTTTCAGAGAAAGTACCCAAAAAAAGATGAGTCTAAAAGTAGGGCCTTCAGCACTGAATTTCGAGATTAGGACTGAGTGAAGACAGAGATTTCTTGTTGTGTTGACTAATTGCTGGAGTGTCCAGGATATGGTGGACAATCCTGTCATCTATGTTTTTTTAGCATTGCTTAACGTCAATCAACACGTGGGATGAAAATCGCATTTAGTATCACACTTTTGGTTAAATTCTAGAAGTTAGAAATTCCCTTTTCATACTGGTTGTGCAAAGACACAAACGTTTTTTCATTTTAAAACCATCCAGAAACAACACTGGGTGAAGAAGCAGTATCGGAGTATGATATTCCTGGTCGTGTAACAGTGGCAAAACTCTTTCTTAATCAGAGTAAAAAGCAAAATTTCCTCTTTTGGTTCAGCACAATCACTGGAAAAACATTCAATAACCTCCTGTAAGTGTGTGGTTAAGAAACAACTGTGTTTCCTTATCACTAGGGACGAGTACCTATCTTTTTTTGCTCAGTTGTGGGTTATACCTTCTTAATGCTCAAAGGGAAAGGTAAGTCTGGAAAATGAGTAGGATGTGAGTCCTGGTGGTTTTTCCATCCAAATCTTAGCCTCCAGAGACTAGAATTCCCTCTTTACTGTGTTGTCCCCTACTGAGTCTGTGAGAATTCATCTGGAGACTTCCCTGACCGGCACCTCATTGTGTTCTTCGCAACTGTGCTCTTGAGTTGCCTCCATTTTCCACCAAAGGCCAAGAGTGAGATCCTTTGTGTCTCTGCTTCAACCAGCGTCTCTCTTCTGGGGTCAAAACAAAAAAATAGCTAGATTAGTTTTTTCCAGTTGGATGAAGTTTTTCCAATATATTCTCAAGTTCAGACTCCCAGCTCTGTTCTGCTTCATAGTCCAGCCTGTCAGTCTTTTCAAGTGTCTCTCTCTTTAGAGGGATTTTTCTAAAGCTGTGAGTTTTCAGGGGATTTCTTTTCCTGAAGCATGTAACTCTGAAAATCCCTTCACACGCATCGTGTGGGAGTTGGAATTGGTTCTTTGAGCACTTGGAAACCCACCCAGTGCCTCACCATCCTGTAAAGGTGCTCCTTTATACTGGGTAAGAGGGAGGTCACCTCAGATCTCCTTCACGATGCTCCTGACGGAAACCTCCTTGTCAGTCACCTACCCTAAAATTTCTCTACCCCCCCAAAATAAAAGGAAAAAAAAGTCAGTCTGACAAAAATAACCGGGTGGGATATTGCACCATTAACTCTCTGCTTGGTCTTTTCAAGTAGCTCATCTGCGAGTGGAAGATCTTATGTCACATCGAGCAACCTGGTCTGGTGGGAGGTGTCCCTGCCCATGGCAGAGGGTTTGGAACTTGATGATCTTTAAGGTCCCTTCCAACCCAAACCATTCTATGGTTCTGATTCAGTGCCCTTAATAATACACTTTAAATTTTGGTCAGCCCTAGAGGGATCAGGCAGTTGGACCAGATAGTCCTTGTGGGTCGCTTCCAACTGAAAATACTCAATTATATTCTGTTCTAAGTTAAAATAAGAGTTGAGGAACCAGTCCCAAGCTGTTGTTTATGCAACTATTATGCCCCCAGCCTACTCCTATACACAAAGGAGTGACATTTCTGCCCCTTCTTCTCTTCTCTCCCTTCAGGAAACAAGAAGAGCGGGTGCAACAAGTGCGTAAGAAACTGGAGGAAGCACTAATGGCAGACATTCTGTCACGAGCAGCTGATACGACAAAAGATATAGATGTAGAAATGGATAACGGAGATGAAGCATAAAAAGAAATCAGGTGAGTTGGAGATAGATTTGAACGTCCTCACATTAAATGCTACAAAGATCTGGAGACATTCCAACCCCACCTGGACACGTTCCTGTGCAACTTGCTCTGGGTGACCCTGCTTTGGCAGGGGGTTGGACTAGATGATCTCCAGAGGTCCCTTCCAACCTTGTATCATTCTGTGATTCTCAAAAGGATGCAACCACCAGCCTTTACTATTTCCAAAAGGGCTTATTTTTGTTTGTTTTTTTTCTTTTTTTTCCTCTTTTACAGGTACTTTTAACTGACTTATCCCAGGAGGAACTTCGTAAAAAAAACAGAGGCACTTTCTCCTTCGGTCTTTCGTTATAAGAAGAAACGGACCCATGCACATTTATATAGCTTTCTAATAGCATTAAAACCAATGCCTTTTTTAGACTCCTATTTTTTGATGTATATATCTTATTTGAAAAGCAACTTTATTTTGTGTCCTATGACTTAAAGTCCTTTTTTAAGTATCGAACGTTACCCTTAATCTAAAGCTGAGCTTTTGATGCCAGGTTGCAAACCTACTGGAATTATATTGCCTGTACTAAATATTTGTTTTTCCTGTGGTTTTTGGTAAGGACGGATCAGGAGAACAGAATGATTTCCCAATTAAAGATTATTGTGACTCTGTATATAAAACAGATTTTTATACCTAGGGGTGAAAACACCTGTACATTCTTCCGTCATCACTGTAAAGATAAATAAATGATTATATTCCAAGCAAATTGAAGTTGCTTCTTTCCGTTTATAATTGGGAATGAACGGGGACGTGAGTGACTTCTCTTGTGCAGTCTCATTTTAGGGGAGAAGATGCCAGGAGGTGACTCATCACACGGCTGTACGGTAAAGTGCAATAAAACCAGCGCAGAAGCTGCTCTCAAAGGCTGTTTGAGCTCCACTGAAATGTTGTTTTATTTGTTACTGATGTCTCTTATTAATTTTTTTAGTGATTAACCACTGAAGGTAGCTGAAAAGCCTCAGGGGAAGAAAATGCTTCTCTCTCTTTTTTTTTTTTTTTTTAATGAAAAGATGTTCTCTGTCAAAGCGAGACAGCTTTGTATTAAAATCCAAAGAAGTTTCAAAGTTTGGACTGAAATTTGACAAAAGAATTTCCACTTTCATCACCTTTTTCTTAAAATCATGGTTCTGACAGAAGCATTTCTTTCACCTGTTGGCAGCAAGACAGTATTTTCCTACTAAAAGATGGGTATTAATCTACTATAGTGGTGGTTTAGTGATTCTTGGAGAAGCTTGGAATGGTTTAGAGTGATTTTCTGGTTTTAATGCTATTTTTTTCTACCTGGAAATCAGCAAGACCACGGCGAGGGAAGGGCATTGCTGGCCTTTGGCTCCAAACCCTGGTGGATCTGGTGGCCCTGTCCTGGGCAACTTCTGCTCTTCCCTTCTGAACAGAGTCTGAACTGGTGAGCTGCTGGTGGGGATGGTGGTGGTTATGGGTTATTCAAGGTACAGGGCTCCCAACTGAGGCCACTCCACTTTTGAGAAAATAATTGCCAAATTTAGGGGCGGGAGGGAAAGAGTTAGAAGGAACTTTAAAGATCATCCAGTTCCAACCCCCCTGCCCTGGGCAGGGACACCTCCCACCAGCCCAGGTTGCTCCAAGCCCCCTCCAACCTGGTCTTGAACCCCTCCAGGGATGGGGCAGCCGCAGCTTCTCTGGGCAACCTGGGCCAGGCTCTCACCACCCTCACACCAAACAAGTTCTTCCCCACATCTCATCTCAACCTCCCCTCTTTCAGTGTCAAACCCTTCCCCCTTGTCCTATGGCTCCCCTCCGTGATCCAGAGTCCCTCCCCAGCTTTTCTGGACCCCTTGAAGGACTGGAAGGAGCTCAAAGGTCTCCCCAGAGCCTTCTCCAGACTGAACAACCTATGGAGTTGTTCCAAAGGTCGGTACCTATTTTTTCCAGCAGGATACCAATAAAATTGCTGGAAGAGGTGTCCAGGCCCTTGCAGCATCTCAAACAAATGACCATCCCCGGGCTTCCCGAGTGGAATCTTGCAGATTGTCCCCCTCCATCCCCTCTTATGCCCCCCCTTCACCGGGGAGAACCTCAACTGAGCTCAAGTGCTTCCCCGGGCACGATGGAGGCAGTTGGGGCCGAAGCCTCTAGAGGTCGGTGCAGCTCAAGGAATGTGCTGGCTGCTGCCTGCATCCCTGCTGCATCCCTTTTTGCTCCCTTCATCCCAGGGCTCTGCCTGCATCCCTGCCTGCATCCCTGCCTGCATCCCTGCCTGCATCCCTCAGCACTCAGCTCAGGCTTCCAACGGGCAGTGGTTGTCCCAGACCTTCCTGCAGACCTCTCATCAGTCCCCCCCCCCACTATCAGGGACCAGCCCTGGGGATCATTTTCCATGTGGAAATTTTTTCCAGGTTGTAATGATTATGTTTTTGGTTTTTTTTTTTTTTATATTCAGCTCAACCCACCTCCAGATTGGGGGGGGGGGAAGAAAAATTAATGATTTTAAATTTTTTATAATAGTTTTTTTGCTGTTAATAGAAGAATGGAATTAAAATGCAAAGATTAAAATTAGAAGGTGGAAAACGGAAAAAAAAAAACAAAACAGAAGGAAGACTTTTTATCACCCCACTTAAATCTAATCAATATTGTCAATATTTTACATTTCTAAGGAAAATAACTTTTTTCCAGTATCTCTCATTCTGTGAGTTCCAAGCAAAGTGTAATTAATATAATAAATTATCCTTGGTGAGAAGCCGATGTTTGTTCAGTCAGGGCTCAGAGTTACCCTCATGTCATTAGTAATGCGAGACATTTATTTGCAGGGGAAAATCCTATAGTTTTTATAATCTATAGTTGGGTTTAGAGCTGGCTAATCAATAAGTGTGAATGCAATTTTTGCAATACTATGATGTAAAAGATAACCCTGTCTTTCAGGGGCAGTTTCTTACAACCCAAGTTCAAAGTTTAGTAGAGGAGCTTCGACCCTCCTGCGTTATTCTGGACAGTGTCTTGTGGAATTTCAAAAGTAAGTCTTGGCTCTTAACAGATTTATCACTATCCATTCTGGAACCTCATTTTGCTAAGGAGAATAGAATAGAGTAGAAATTACACCAAGTTGGGACCTGACATGGGGGATGCTTCTGAGGGACAGGGTGCCGTCCATAGGGTGATGGACAGGCTGGAGAAGTGGGTGCTGAGAGAGTTGGTGGGGTTCAACCTGGAGAAGAGAAGGATCTGGGGAGACCTTAGAGCCCCTTCCAGTCCCTCAAGGGGCTCCAGGAAAGCTGGGGAGGGACTCTGGATCAAGGAGGGCAGCCAGAGGACAAGGAGGAAGGGTTTTAAATTGAAAAAAAGGAGATTTAGGTTAGATATGAGGAAGAACTTGTTTGGTGTGAGGGTGGTGAGAGCCTGGCCCAGGTTGCCCAGAGAAGCTGTGGCTGCCCCATCCCTGGAGGGGTTCAAGGGCAGGTTGGAGGGGGCTTGGAGCAACCTGCTCTGGTGGGAGTGGTGGCACTGGATGTTTTTTAAGGTCCCTTCCAACCCAAACCATTCTAAAAGAACAGAAGAGAGGTGCAGGTGCTGTTGTGCTGCAGATGCCCAGGGTGGGCAAGCAGAGAGGGGCCAGTCTGTCCCCCCTCACCCAGGTGGTGCCCAAGTCCCATGAGGACATGACACCAGTGGGAGGTGGCTCTGCATCCCCTGGGGATGTCAGGCACTGAAAAACCCAACCTTGTTCCTTGCTACTATTTGCACCCCAAGGTTTGGTCAGGGCTGCTCTTCTGCACGACCGCGTGAATCCCAGCGCTAGATCCTACAGAATTCCCTTTAAAAAGCTACACAAAATGCTCTTCCTTTTTTCCCTGACAATATCTTATTCCTCCAGCGTTCACAGCCTGATTTCACCCTTTGATGCCTTTCCACTGTGTGTGTGGTGCATCTACAATCTTATATCCTCTTAAAAGTCACCGTAGAGAGGACACTGTCCCACAATGAAGTCTCACCTTGAGTTTTCTGAGGTCACATCCACCGGCGACGCCCCCAGAGCCATTCACATCCATCCCAGGGGCAAATCTGTCCCTAAATTAGGGAGTGGAAAGGAATTGAGTGATAGCATTTTATTAATGAGCCTTCAGATTTCTTGTTCTTTTCCATTTTATGCCTGGAGTTCATGACCAGGAAAGTTATGGGGCAATAACTATAGAATTATTAAAAATGAAACGAGCTTGTGCAGTGGACTTATTTTACGGTGCAGCTTAGGGACAGAAGAACCTTAGAACTTCATAAGGTTATAGGCTTTAAAGTGCTTGAAGAACTTTTCTGAAAGTTTTACCGTTTCATAAAAGGAGAGAAGGGAATGGAAAAAGTTTCTTTAACTGAAACACAAGTGTCTGATGGAGGAGGTGGGCTTGTCCGGGCTGTTTGAAGAGAAAAGAAAGAAAAGGAGAGAAAAAGAGAATGAAGGGGGTGTCTGGAAGGAATAAGATGAGTTTGGAATATCTTTCTGATGAGGAAAGGCTGAGGGACTTGGGGCTTTTGAGTCTGGAGAAGAGAAGATTGAGGAGGGATCTGATCAAGACCTATAAATAATTCAAGATAGGTGTCAGGAGGATGGGGCCAGAGTTTTTTCAGTGATGCCCAGGGACAGGACAAGAGGGAACGGGCACAAACTTGAACATGGGAAGTTCCACCTCACCATGTGGAGGAACTTCTTCACTTTGAGGGTGTCAGAGCCCTGGCAGAGGCTGCCCAGAGAGGTGGTGGAGTCTCCTTCTCTGGAGACATTCCAACCCCACCTGGACACGTTCCTGTGGGACCTGCTCTGGGTGGACCTTCTTTTGGCAGGGGTCTCGAGGAGATGATCTCCAGAGGGCCCTTCCAACCCCACATCATTCTGTGATTCTTTGAGTCCCTTCCTCATCTCATTTAACTGCGGATCTGCTGCTGCTGTTCTGGTGGGATCTTGGACATTATCCAGCTGGATGTTAAACTCTTTAGTAATGAAAAGCCCTCGGAGATGGCAGGCTGTCAGATCATCCATCGGATATTACAGGACTGAGTCCTCTCCTGCATTGGGGTAGAAGTCCCCATCCCACCACTCATATCTACAACTCTTCAAGCAGTTATTCAAAATCACTTAGATCCATGAGAAACTTTGCCCTCTAAATACAGCCCAAAAATCTGTTTTATTGCTTCACCCCCATTTGGAACAGGTTTAGACTTTTACCATCACGATCTTCACCCCCAGTTCATGTTCTCCTCTTGAGTCCTCCATATGCCATCGCCCCATGTTACCTAATTTATCACATTTATTTCCATACCGTCGTTTGCCAATTTTCTCTCCTTTCCTGGCAGCCTTTCCTTTTGAGTCATCTCTGAAACGGGTCCCCGTTCACCACGGAGAATGGTCTCGTTTGGTTTTTACTGGTGCCAGAAAGGACTTCCCAGCAAAGGGAACTGGGCGAGCATTGGTGGGAATGGTGTTTCCCTCTGCTTGCTGGTGGCACATTCTGTATCTACAGTGAAAACATAAAAGTGAAAATATAACCTTAAAAATGAAAAAAAATATAACTACAGTGAAAATATAAAAGATAAATCTACTTCCTGAAGGAATATCGATGTTTTAGGGCTTTTATTCAAGCTCCCTGGGTCTGTGCTTTCCCCATCAGCCACTAGGAGGGAGATCAGGGCCGTTCATTCCGCAGTGGAAAGGGAAGAGGGATGCAGAGGTTTAACTACTTGTTTTTACCGAGTACAGGCTTTAACTTTTGCTCCTCAAATTGCAAAGCCATTTTTTTGGGGAGATGCTGAGTAATTCACTGAGAGGCTCGAGGAGTCCAAACAGGGTGGCTGAAATACCCTTCATTAGCTGCTCAAAATTGTCAGTATTATAAATATACAGTGTTTATAAATATATAAAAATATAAATATATATATAAATAGACTCTTTTATCTGTTAACGTTCGTTACTATCAGAAAAACTTGCTTTGAATGCTTTATTTATACACGTTTCTTCCTCTTATTTGTGTGACTGGGTTTGAAATCTCCCTCCTACCAGCCAGAGCGGTTGATGCCGCGGCTTCCAGAACTTGGATGATGTTTTGATGGACCATTTCTTTTTGCAGTTCTTTCAAAAAGATGGTCTGAATCAGGAGTTATAAAACGATGAGCATCGCAGTTTGCAGTCAGAGAGAGAGAGAGAGAGACACACTTTTTCTTCCCCCAGAAAACAAGCCCGGGGAGAAGGAAGATTTGAGCTAAAGTAGGATAAGGGTTTTTTTAATTTTTTTTTTTTTCAGATGAGAAGCCTTACCAATGTAAAAAAAGGGAAATAAAGGAAGAAAAAAAATAATAACTAGGCCCAGAAAAAAAACCAGAAGCACAGTAAACAAAAGCAGAGGTGTGTATGTAAGGATTAGAAGAAATACCTGGAAGCACCAAGCGAGTCTGGTGGAGGAGAGGAGGAGCTGCAGGCAGTGAAAAGCAGAGATTTGCAAAGGCCCCTGCTGGTTTTAAAGTGACAAGGATTAGTTTGGGCAAAGGCTCTGGAAAAAAAAAAAAAGGCTGTAAATTTGGAGAAAAAAAAGAGAGACAGACTAATACTCAAGGCTCCCGGTCTTCTGCAAATGTCTTCCCATCAGGAGCCGTTCAGGAGGCGCTCGCTGTGTAAGTAGGTGGTACTGGCTGATAAGATAGTGGGCAAGAAGCTATTTTCTGATTTTGAGATTATTAATCTCCCCTGACGGGTTTTCCTGGCGGTTTTAAAAAGTTTTAACAAGGTGCTGGGCACAGCCGTGAGGCTTCGGATTGTCCGGGGGCAGATAAAGGATGTTGAACGCTACGAATCTGAAATAACTGCTTGGGTTTGGGAGCTTTTGGTCGGTACCCGTTGTCAGGCATCTACTCTGAATAAATAAATTTATTCTGAAGAAGCTGTGGGAAGGGGTGAGGAAGGTCTGGTGGGGAGGGGATGTCATACCCAAATGACGTCAGTCTGTCCTTCTCTGGGGTGATTTAGGGTGATTAATAAAGAAATTTGCCTCGCCCCTATTTTCTACACCATCCAAATCTCTTAAACCATGATGGCCCTTGCCATTATTTTCCGTATTGGAGAGGAGGTTCATCATCTCCTTTGGCAGAAATGCCTCCTCCTCTCTCCCACATGTTATGATGATGAAATTCCCACCTCAGGGGTGGGTTTTGGGGCTGTGTGTAGCAGCTGGGGGGAGCAGGAGCACGTGGTGGCCCCTCTTTGTGCCACCTGCGTGTCTCATTCTGCTCCACTACCACACTGTAGCCCTGGATGTTTTGTGCCAAAAGCTATTACTGGCACTTTCCTGTTTATGTGATACCTTCACCTTTTCATAATTAGGCTGCTGTCTCTCCAAACCAATCAATCTCTCCATCTCTTCTCCCGTAGGACAGCGTGAGTTCTGTGGCTGGTGCCTGGTACCTCGGTGATGGTGCTCAACGTCTTCCAGATCCACGACCTTCATCTCTTCCACGGCATCGGCTCCTCCACCTGAGGGTATTTCTCAAGGTTTTTCTTCCTTCCTCATCATTTGTTCACTCTTTATGGTGTGTTTGTAATCAAATACACTACTAAAGGGGTTCTGACCTTGTCTGGGTGGCATTCATTCCATCCTCTGGTTTCTTTGTCTCTCCTAGCGGTCCTGGGAAACAATGATTCTAAATAAGGGTCAAGTCTCTTTGGTGATTTTATATGTGGCTGCCCCATCCCTGGAGGGGTTCAAGGCCAGGTTAGACAGGGTTTGGAGCAACCTGGTCTGGTGGGAGGTGTCCCTGCCCAGGGCAGGGGGTTGGAACTGGATGATCTTTAAGGTGCCTTCCAACCCAAAGCATTCTATGATATTTTTTTTTTTACGTAAAGGTTTAGCACTCTTAAACAAATGCATATGCTGTAGCTGAAAGATAAATTAAGTATGCTCAGCAGTTGCTTAGTTTATTATAACAGGTTTTTAAAATAAATTGCATGGCTTTCCTCTTCAGCTGAATGATATGTGCATTTAAAATATATGTAATTTGCTGCCATTACAGTAGGGCCAGGCCTCACCCAGGCACAAATAACTTCTCGATATTGTTATTTCACTTTGATTCACCAGGGATAAGGACATCTTGGCTGAGCGATGAAGATAAGCAGAAGAAGATGGTATATCTGAAGGAGAAATTAATTTGGTTTTATGTTAATTTTTAACAGAATGACTTGGAAACCACTTACAGCAGCCTTCACATATACAGTGCCTCAGATTTTATCCTTTGGGAGTGAACACAGATTTTCTCAGAAGGATTATGGACAGACCTGGTGGGAGAAGATCCGGGCTTTGTGAGGATGCTCTGGGATTAACAGAACCACAAATGCAAGTAAGAACCGGGGCTGGGATCATTAAGAGCAAATATTTTCAATAATTTTTACTTAAAGACGACCCCAAACGATGAATGAAAGGCAGGAGGCGTAGTCAGAGCAATTCACTTCGTATCCCGTGTTTTTTGGGGCTTCCTGGAGGCTTCGTTATTGTCCTAGTGTTGAATAGCAATGATTAGCAAAGTCTCTTTAGCGCAGAGGCGTAGAGCCTTTCACAAGGAGCAAGTTCTGCAAATGAAGTGCTTTCAGTCCCCGTCAGAAATCTAACCACCCCGCTCCGACTGCGGGGAAGAACCGGCAAAATTGGCACAAAGAATTTTACTGTAATCAAGTCGACAGGAATTATTGATGGGGAATAATAAAGCCAGCATTAGCTACATTACAGCGAGAGGTTTTGCCGTGGAGAAGAATAAAGACGTGGGTTTTCTTGAATGCACCAGAAAATATATGTTATTAACAAATAGGCAAACGTAGAAAAATCTGTTGCCAATGAAAGTAACGCGGTTCTGTCCCAGTGCAATTCTCAGGCCCCTGCCTTGGAAACCACAGCGATCTTCTAGTGCAGCTCCTTGTGATGGTTCAATGTGATGAGGAACACCACGCTGATGGAGATCTGGGTGTGTGCACCACAGCCCATGCCTGAACTCTTAAAAAAACTTAGTATGTGGAACAGAATCTTAGAATCCCCTAGGTTGGAAGGGAGCTTTAAGATCATGGAGTCCAACCATCAACCCAATGCTGACAAACCCACCACTAACCCATGTCCCTCAGCACCGCATCTGTCCGGCTTTTAAATCCCTCCAGGGATGGTGACTCCACCACTGCCCTGGGCAGCCTCTTGCAGTGCTCAACAACCCTTTCCCTGAAGAAATTTTTGCTAATCTGGAAAAATACACGTCTTTTAAACTGAGTAAAATGAGGCTTGGCATAAACAGCCTAAGCTCTCCTTCTGCAGAGGATGGGGCTCTTCTTCTCAGTGGGATGAGAGCAGGATACACAATGCAGGCAACCAAAAACCATCCTCAGGGTGGCTCCATAGTTCCTCATTACTTGCTAATGAGTTTCTTCTCTTTCTAGCTGTCCCTACACTGATGAGATCCCCCACAAACCTTCTCTTCTCCAGGCTGAGGAGCCCCAGCTCGCCCAGCTTCTCACAGGAGGGATGCTCCAGTCCCATCATCATCTTGGTGGCCCTTCATTGGGCCCTCTCCATTGTGTCCATGTCTCTCTCATACTGGGCAGCCCAGAACTGGGTCAAGGCAGGGGCTTGTGGCTTGTATCCAAATTGTCCTAATCAGAGTAATTAAAAAGTTTTCTCATCTATGACCTCCTTGTGCAAACCTTGCTTTAATTACAAGCAAAATGAGCTGAGCCAGGGATAAAAAACCCAGTAATTTTCTAGTTTTAATCTCCTGTATTTTGTGGGATTAAGCATAATCTATAATTTTGCTTCAGTGTAGATTTTATATCTTAATTTCTTACTGGTTTTGTACTAGGAAGGAAAAATAACCCCAAGCTTGTGTATCTGAAAATCAACATAATAAACCATTATTGCCGGCACAAGAGACGTTACGGTCTCCCTTGGAATAGCACAAATACATTAAAAATGTATTTAGATGCATTTAAACATGCATATTATTTCACAGATGAGTATAATGGTTTCTTAGGAGCTATTAGGTTTCAGTATGCAAAAACCCCATGTTTATTTGAAGAAAATTATTTAACAAAAAATTACAGTAACGGGCCCCTTAAGGTTTCATTACGTAAATCTTCATTCAGGCATTTGGATTGTTAATCCAAGAAAGTGCCATGGACCTAAATGACTCATTACATACATCCTTGGCATCAGTTTATTAATAAACTCCTAAATAACCTGTTATTATTAATTGGATTTTTCCAAAGCATCCAGATTTCCAATGTAAACACCGCAAGTCCCGTGGCTCCAAGGGCTTTTGTCTGCACGTCCACATCAGGAGTGAAGTTCAGGAGAAGAGGGACATTTTGTGACATCTGTAAAATGAAGAAGCCACACTTGAATTAATGCTTGGGAGGACACCAAGACAGGACTTCTAAACACCTAGCTCTGTGGACAAGGCAAAGCAGGGAGTTGGTGACCTCCATTACCCTGGAGGAAGAGTGAAGGATGGAAGGCTGTTGGGAGGGACGTTGAAGACACCAGAGAAGCTTCATCATCTGGAGGCAGAATTATGGCCAAGTCCAAATGCAAAGGGAGCCAATGGGTTGAATTTTGGACAAAGAAAAGAAGGCAAGAAAAGGCCCAGAGGAAGAAAATGCCACCTTCTTCATGGCTGAAGGATGAACTTGGAGTAAATGAGGTAGGAAGGAGCAAAGCCCAAGTGACAACTGACCAACGGAAAGTTTGATAGTGCCTGATTGATACTCTACTGCTGTTTTTTAGGACCTGCTCTTGGTGACATCTTTGCTTATCTTTCTTTCCTCTTCACATTGTAATCGTTGAGGCACTTAAATGAAATTTAATAAAAAAGAAATGGGAACAAAACCCTGCCTGGAGTTTTTATGGGCGAGTATAAACTTCTGAAAACAGAAGTGTATCATGCAAGGTTCTTCCCATAAAACCAGACGGGCTGGTTCTTCTGCCGAGGGCAGAAGAAAAAAGGAAGGTTTGAGGGCTGACTGTTGGAACAGAAAGATATTTTTCTATTTTCCTGTTTTTCTGCATCCTTAGACAGACGGAGAGAGGAGATCAGGAGCCTTTTTGTTAGTAGGAGGCAACCAAAGCCGCCGCTTTTATCAGAAAAGAGAGAGGAAAGAAAAGTGAAGGTTTCACGAAGGGGGAAAGTTGGATTTCTCTTTGAATTGCTGCGTTTTGACAGTTCCCACCTTGCCATCCACGCACACACAGCCACAGAGAGTGTCACCGGTAAGAGTTTGTCACATAACAACAGTGTTCAAATAAGCAGCGAGGCTGGGGCTGCCTATGTCCAGAGATAGGTTCAGATCTTGGCTACTTATTTGCCAAATAAATGCATTTTATTCTCCAAAAAAACATGCCCTGTCAGGGTTATCCTTAAAATGGCCGAGGAGGAAGGGCTGTTAATGAAAGTCATTTATTCGCAGTTTGACTCAGTCGGACCTTTCTCTGGAGGAACAGGAGGAGGAATGAAGGAGTGGGGGCCCCAGCTGTGCGGTGTGATGGAAGGGGCTCTAATTAGCGGCGATAACGAGAGCCTATCACCCCATTTTAGACCGACTGGGGACTCTGCAAATTCAGGTGGCCTGCTGTAAATTAAAAAAAAAAACTTATTATGAGTCCTTTGGCCAGGAAATGGGATAACTGCGGGGTTAAAGTTATACTTAATTTTCCTTTATTACTTGCGCCTGAATAAAAGCATCTAAATCCTACGTAAGCCAAATTTCAAGGGGGAAAAAACAAATTCTACTTTACCTAATTTTAGCCATTTGCCTCAGGTGGCAAACACTTTTTTGTGTTTGTTGTTTTTAATGGGGCTAAGAATAGAGATTTAGGTGGATATAGGTGGGAGGTCAGCACCAGAAGTGCTGTAGATGTGTTACCATGGCGCTACATACCCAATTAACCATCATGATTAATTTTTCTTTCAAGTTTCTTGCGAACAGCAGCTACAACTTTGAGAAGTTCAGATTCCAGCTCTGTGAGGAGGTTGGTGAGATGGGGAAGCATTGACTGTAGAGGCCAGACCAAAGAGACAGCAGTCCCACCACACCTCCAGCCTAGTCTGGATGGAGAAAGGTTTGCGCTTCCACTGTTGAGATTTTCTTATTCAAAATTGCTTGAAAATTGTGTCTTTGAGTACTTTTAACTCCTCTTATGTTGTCCCAATCCCGTTGCTGGGCAGATGGCACAAGAACATAGAATTATAAATAATTTAGGTTGGAAAGGACCTCTGGAAGTCAACTTGTTCACTCGCATCTTCAAAGAAGGGTCCAAGCAGATCAAATTGCTCAAAGCCTTGGCCATCCCGTCTTCAAATATGTCCAAAGGAGAGTCCACCACCAATCTAGTATATGATTTTATATTTGATCATCTTCATAGTGACTTTTTTTCTCGTGAAATTGGGATTTTCTGTACTGTACCTTGGGTCCATTGCCCTATCACTGCACACCTGGGAGAAGAGCCTGGTTCTGCATTCTCCACCAACTCCCATTAGGTAACTAGAGACCAGAAGATCTCCCCATAACCTCCACTTTCAGGGCTGAATAAACACGCTCTCTCAGCATCTCCTTGTTTTCTGAACTGTAGACTCTCCCGGCCGTGGATAATTGAGGAGTAGAGTTTTTAGGCCTTTTGAGTTGGCATCTTTCACCAGCACTAAAAAATAATTCACTTTTCACTTTTCTTCCATAAAGTCTTTATTGCTCAGCTCTCCAAAGGGAAAGTTGGTTGTTGGTTGTGGTTTTTTTTTTTAAATTTTATTCCCCTGACGTGCCACCTTTTTCAGTGTCAATTAAATAGCATCCAGCATCCAGGCAGTAGTATATTGTCTGCAGTAAAAACCAGCAGCAATGAAAAACTAAATACAGAACTGCCAGCAGAATAGTGAATTAGCCCGGAGTGAGCCGCGTTTGGGCGCCGCCGCTGATATTTATGTGCCAACGGTAGGTGCTCTCAGATTCATTCCTTTCAGGCTGACAGGAAGCATTAATTGCAATTCTTTAAAAGAAAAACGACTTCTTGGAGGAGGAGGAGGAAATACCACCTGCAGGACCTTATATACATCTAAGCATTGAGAGAGTATTTTTCCTGGCTCAGTTATTATTTGGGCTTAATCAGCTCGGTCTCAGTTGGCTGAGCGTGTGGCTGCTTTGTCATCTTTTGTCACATTTTGGGGTGCAATGTTCTCAGACCCGTTGAAACTGAAATTCTGTGGTCCCTGTCCCCAGTTTCTCCCCAGTGCCTACATCGTAATTCACACTGGGGATCTTTTCAGGGCCAAACCAAGCAATTCCTTATTTTTGCAGAAGCGGAGGATAATGTGCACCAGGGACACAAGTCACGACAGGTTGGACTGAGACTTCCTCCAAGGGTATCCCACAGACCATACGTCTCCCAGAAGACTTAGGAACTGTCTAGACGCGACGGTCTTATGGGAGAGCTGCCCTGGACACAATCCATGTGCAATTTGCTGTTTCAAAGGATCTTGAGACTTGGACACCCTTTATCTAAGGTCATCCAACCTGGTTCATCTGGAGACCTTAACTCTCTTCACTATCTGGGGTTCACCACAGATGAGGCCAACTGCTGATGTTGGGTGGTGGCATCTTGTAGAACTGGGAATTTTGGATCCCATCCTGAGACACCTAATGGAGAGCGAGCCCTCGTCCTGTTTGTCTTCAGCCTTTTTAAGACCTTATCATAAATCCTGGTAAAAAACAACCACCCCAAAAGTAAATAACTCCCCTGCCCCGACCAACCCAGGAAATAAAAGTAATTCAAGGTGTTTCTTTCATGGAATGGATTGACTGCAGTGTTGCCCTCATAGGTTAATGTTTAATCCTCGTGCTTTGAAGACAGAATGATACGTCGCTTACTCAACATAGAGTTTGCAGGGTTTGTTACACAATTTATTGTTCTGATCATTTAGATTTTGACTCCAATATTTACTTTAGGTTAATAACCTCAGAGCAGTCTGTTGTTTTAAAAAAATATGATACAATCCCAAGCTTCCCTGTGGCAGAAAAGCTGATAATTGTCTAGTCTAAATTCAGCACTAAGGTCTGCTTTTCAAAAAAAACCCAAACTTACCCATTTCAGTTTGGGTTTCCTAAGTCAGACGTGACTTTACAAATCATGTTCAGACCCAACCAAAACGTGTTACTTGTAAACTGGCCGGTACATCATGTTCTTCCCTTGCGTTTTCTTGTCTCATCCTTCTTTGTGCCACGCTGGATGCTGCGCTTTGATCTCTAAAAAATTGATGCCCCCGTCAACAAATCAATATGTTGATCTCCAGGTTTCCTTGTGCACCTTCAGCAATGTCTTCTGCAAATTAGAGCTCTCCCCAGCCCTTCGGTCGGGTGCCTGGTATTTTCTCCCTGGCTGGTGCCTCTCCTCGTGATCCGTGCCAGTGTCGGAGCGATTTTCAATTCCTTTTCTCCGCAGCGTGTACAGACACAGGCGAGGAAGATGTTACAAAGGGCACGGCTGCCAAAGTGAGAACAAAAATTCCAAAGCTTTTTATCTCCTTTAGGTTTTTTTCAGGGTTTCCTCTAATGCTCTCTCTGCCGGCTATCAATGCTGTTCAACTCTCCGTATCGCTTCCTGCGGCAAGAAAAATAAAAATTACTTCTCTCACTCCTAAATCAAAACTCTTTTTTTTTTTTTTTCCACACGTTTCCTTTAATTTGGGATTTCCACCATCTGAATTTACTCTCTCATTTTCCCCTGTTAGACTGGGTCGTGCTGCTTCTACCTAGGACTAGGACTACCTACCTAGACCTACCTAGGACTACCTACCTAGGACTACCTACCTAGACCTACCTAGGACTATCTAGGCCTAGTCATTTCATGAGTTTTGAGAGGTCTGGTGCTCATTAGGGGGATGGTTTCAAGGAGGTGTTCCAAATCCCACCGCCTTTTTTTCCTTAAGAAAGTCCACTATTGGGAAATCTTAGCCAATCTTTGCTCCAAAATCGGGAGCAAAGCGGCCATCTGCAGGTGCCTGGACCATCTCTTGAGTGATTTCATCCAGAGCAAGGAAGAGTAAAGCTGCAGTAAGGATTTATTTATTAGGAGTGGGTTTATTAGGCTGGATTAAATGCTGCACAAACGTGACTCTATTGTCCCTTCTTCCCAGCCAGTGGCTTTGCACGTCACCGAGCAGTGACACGTGGATGTGCCAGCACGGTCAGAGCAGGAACACTCAGGCATCTCTCCCAAGAGTCAGATATCACTTCAGGGATGAAAATTACATTTTAAAATCCTATTTTACCAGCTGACAGAGAGGCCCTTTAGTTTGCTTTGCAGGGATGGGCCTTCCTAGGGAAGAGGATCCACAGTGGTGCCCTCACGGTGTCACTTCTCCGCTGCTCCCACCTGGGGCCAGCCCAGGCTTGTTTCCCAAGACAGGCTTTTCCAGTCGGCTCCTCCCTTTTCAAAGGGAATTTCTTTCCTTCCGCTGCTGCAAAAAGTAACTTCTTAATTTTATAGAGAGATACCAGCTCTCATCTTCAATCAGAAAAGAGTGAACCAAGGGAGGGAGGTGAATTAAAGTGCACCTCCCTGGCTGCGGTTTTCTTTTGACACCTGTAAAACAGGGTAAAATCCTGACCTGCTGAATTAAATGGGGAATTTTGCCTTTTCTTTCAGCTGAGGTGGGATTTTGAGCGTGGAACTCAGAGCGTGGGCGTTTGATGGTCCATTGATCCAGAAGCTTTGGTGCCCTTTGGAACGCAAGGGCACGCACGGACCCAGCAACTCGAACCTCAGCCTCGTGTTGCACCTTTATTTACAGATGCTCGGTTTAAAGAAGCCTGGCAAAGATATTTTGATATCTGTATAAT